TGGCCACTCGAAGAACATCAGTTACAGGTAAGCACTACAGAGCAATCTTCTTCCATTGCATGGCTGTTTCTGTTTCTCTTTTCTTGGTGATCTTGGGAGGTTGTAGAACCCTTTACACATTACTTGAACACATCCTTTTCTCTTTAAAAATATGCAGTTCTTTGAGGATATTTTTCCATCAGCAAGCTTAAGCCTTTTCTATTACTTTGCATGGGCATGGAATATTTTACCACTGAAACATTTCGATAGCTATTAATCCTATTTACACATTGTGTTAAAATTAATCCTTTTCTGGCTACCTATAATGGTTGTGTGTTCCCTTTTTATTGTCCTTAGAAATGTAGAGAGTAATCCATTGACAAAACCCCACATGAACTGAGTCATTTTTAAACACATAGTCTGTACTAGTTTTGAAATTTAAAATTGTTGGTTGTGTTATTTTTCTGCAGTATGTGTAAGAACTAAACTGGATTGGGTTGATGTATTTGCACAATTAGACTGTTCACTGTTGTGGAAGTTCATATTTTAACATTAATTACCCCTATGGACTTGATCTAAAGGTATCCTTCTGTGAGCAGAAACTGTCTTCTGCTTGAATTGTCTGAGAAAAGTCCAAGTAAGTCAATGTTCATTTGTCCCAGAGGAAACATGGGAATGATTGTAGATTAGAATCTACCTGATATAGTACTCTGTAAATTCTTACACAAACATTTCAGAAAAACACTAGCATCCATTTTCTTTCTTTGGTACTTCAACCCTTGCCCTATGTCACCAATAAAGAAATAGTGGAGTATGGATGATTTAATACTAAAGTTGCTATATTGCAATAGGAAGAAAGTGTTGGCATACATTCTATTAATGTATGAATTAGTTGGCAAACTCAGGTGTCAGCAGTCATAGTAGAATTTAAGCTAGTAATAAGAAAATTTGCATAATGAATCCTTATCACTGCAATATTTAATTAAGACCTGAATAAAGGCTCTCATCTCTTTATTAGCTTTGAATTTAAGAGTAGCAGAACGTTAAATCTGTATCATATTTAAATATTCACAGTCCATTCATCCGAAACCTTTGTATTCACAAATGCCAATAGTGTTCTGTTTTGTCAGTTTCCTGTAATATATTTGGAGTATGACATTCCTGAAATATAAATCCTGTGAATTAAAATGGATGATGTCAGTGTTGCCATGGCAATTTAAAATTGCACTGATCCAGTTTATACAATCTATACACCTTTTTCTTTCTGGCAGATTTTCAGAGCAGCAGTAAGTCTTGCATTTATGTGTAGAGTGTAACTTGAATTATGATTACGTTAGCTTTATTACTGCGAAAAAATGAAGGTTCAGTGGGTGAATGCAAGGAAGAAATGTATCAGCTGAAGAAAGGTGATGAATGGAAAGCTTGTTACAAAACTGTGATAATAAATAGAGTTAAATGCGTAAGCACATGTTGTTACAAGGTTTATATAACAGTATTTTTTGGCTTTTCTCCACTGTATTTTGACATCACATTCTTACCCAAAGAAGATATTTTAGCATTGGTTTTCTTTTCTCTTCTCTGTATATTGATTACCTCCCTTAGGATATTTTGTGTGTGGGAATTAATTATAACAGTTACATAAGTATTCTGTTTCCATTTTCCTGAAAGACATAATCAATGACTATGAAACCAGAAGAAAGAAATAAAACACAGTAAATTTAACTTTTGAACCTTATAGACATTTGTGCTTCTCCTCTCCTCCTCCTCCTCCTCCGCTTGGAATTCTTTAGCCCAAGATGCGTCTGATGAAGTGGACTCTAGTCTACAAAAGCTAATGCCAGCCTTTCCAATTTGGCATTTGCTAGAGGTTTTGGACTATATCTTCCATTAGTACCAGCCAGTATAACTAATGGTCAGGAATGATGCAAGCTGTAGTCCAGCATATTTGGAGTATGCTAGATGGGGAGGGTTGGCCTGTATCGGAATAAATATTTGTCTCTAAGGTGCGACAAGATTATCATTTTTGCTGTCAACAGACAAACGCAGCCAGCCTTGTCCCCACCTTTGCTCAGTGATCTGCAGCATTCCATAAGTGCACTTTCAATGCCTGATAAAAGCTTGCCTTTTCACTCTAATATCTTACTCATTTCATACATTTTCCTTTCTCCTCCAGTCACCTTTCTTTGTGCCATCTTTTAATTGCAAACCGGAGAGCAGGCCCATGTCATTGTTTTTCATTTCGTACACTGCATCTTAGCCTTATGGATCTGGAAATAACAGAGAAAAGAGTGCTTTTGTGGGAGATTGGTGTGTTGCAAGTTAAAATGAGGGGCCCTAGGTAACCTTCAAGTTTTATGGTATACTTGGCTGCATGATTTGTTCCTTAATTACCAACCAAGTTAAACATTCCCTGTCAAATATTTTGATTAGCAGTTTCCTAATCCTTATTTTCTAACAGTTCTATACTTCAGTCCCAAGAAGATACCTGAAAATGCAAGCGCTAATCTAGCTTGTAATTGGAGCTTTTACATTTCTATTAAGGAGGCAAAGCAGCTAAATAAGAACATCAGAAGGGTTCTGTTGGATGAGGCCAAAGGCCTGTCTACTACAGCATCCTATTTCCCACAAGTAGGACACCCTTTCCACTTGTGTTCGCTTGAGCTGATATTTAGAGGCATGTTTTGGACTCTAAATGCTGTCATCCCTGGATCGGGAAGCTGAAGCAACTCTCCTGCAAGGAAGGAGTATAACATTTGGGGCCATTTTGTTAAGAAAATAGGTGAATAAGGGGGGGGGGATTTTATGCAAGTGTATAAGATTATGCACAATGTGGGAAAGACAGTTAGAGATATTTTTCTTCCTCACATATACGAATAACAGTAGAACCCAGGATCACCAGGAAGGACTCCTTCACACAGTACACTCAAGCTTCTGTATAGCCTGAAGTGCCCAATCCTGCCTAATCTTGGAAGCTAAGCAGGGTCAGGCCTGGTTGATATTTGGATGGGTGACTTAAAATGTTGTGAACTGCCCAGAGAGTTTTGGTTATGGGCTGTAAATTAATGTAATGTCATCATAATAATAACAACTATGTAATCTGCTACTGCAAGATATAGTGGTGGCCACCAAATCGGCCTTAAAAGGGCGTTAGACAAAATCATGGAAGATAAAACTATCAATGCCTACTAGTTTTGATAATTATTTAGTACCTCTAAGATGAGAGGTAACTGGGGGCTAACAGTAGGACGGAGAGTGCTAGTTTATATTCTGCTAGTTGCAAAATGAAATTGATGAAGTTGTTTCATGAAGACATCTGGTTGGCCACTGTAGGAAGCAGGATGCTGGATTAGGTAGACCTTCAGTCTGGTCCAGTAGTACTGCTCTTATGTTCATCAGCTAAGTATCCATAGAAGTGCCCCATCTGGCTGCCATCTCATTTCAAGGTGCAGTAGAACATCAGAACCAAGCAGGCTGTTTGTCTGTAGGGTGTGTGTGTGTGTATGAGAGAGAGAGAGATTATAGCAGTAAGAGATACCTTATTGGCCTATAGTCAGTAGTTTGTTTAGTTCCACTGTTATTTTCAAGGTAGGTTACCAAAATTGACATGGCTCCTTTAGGTTTCAAAGTCATATTGAAAAAGTTACTTCACAGTGTAAGGAGAGAGGGTGAAGAATGGAGGGAGTAAGTGGCATGCATAAATGGGAGAACATATGAGGCAAAACCTGGAGGAAGTAATTAAATATTGAAGCATTGCTAGGATTGGATAGTTTTACTTAGCTAACTTTGTTGTTTCCCTGTTGTTTGCTCTCTAAGGGAGTGACTGTGTAGTTTCTATAGAAACCTCAGGAAAATGTGTTAAAGAATTTGAATTATGTTGCTGATTGAGACACATTACTATTCTCTGATACAATACTGAAAGTTTTTCCTCTAAGTTCAGTGTACTGGTTTTTAAAGATATTGGTAGACTATGTGCAAGACTGTTGGCACTTCACTTTTCAGCCAAAATGGTTACAGCAAGATAGTGAAGTAAAATGGAGCTCGGTTTCATGTGGCATCCCTGTCCTTTTTGGTTTCTTATTTTGTTCTGCTAAATTTTGCTGGAGTAAGCTCAAGGAGGATTGCCAGGTTGTTTGTGGAGAGGAACAACCCCTTTTCCCTTTTCCCCTTTCCTCAGTTACTGCGACCAGGTGCTGGTTTTAACATAAAAATATTACATGCCTTTGGACTACAATACCTGTCAGAGTAAAGGTAGTAGGTATTTGCCTGCATTTCCAGTTTCAGTTTGGGAGACTAGGGATACCTCTCTCTTTAGAGGAGACTGGTAAGAGATAAATAAATGACAGGGATCATGATTATGACAGCATTGGCCTTGGGTACTGATGGAAGAGGTTGGGCTAATCCCAAAAGTTAAGAATCTTAGAGTTGTCCCTGGGCATTCTAGAAATAGGAATTCATGGTAAGAATATTCTTTGCTGAGCCTCTAGGTGCTTGGGAAATGGAGAAGTGATACTCTCTCTATTACAGGAGTAGTTATGTTTGCCAGCCATCAAAGCTTGCTATTTCTTCTAAAATAGAGTTTTTGACAGGGCTGTGTTCATCCATAAGGCTACCTTAGCCATGCTGGTCATTCATCCCTTTTGTAATCTGCATCCTGATGTGTCCATCTTATGCAGACTATAAGAACACAATTTGGATAGCTCTGCCCTGTATTGTGAAAAACTTCCTGCACAGATGTTGCTAAACTAACAACTAGTAGGATATGTTAATTAAAATGAAATACAACAAAGTCTTTGTACATTTTACCTTATTGTGGCTGCATTTGTATCCTTTTTTCCTTCAAGAACCTCAAGGTGAAGTTAGAAAGGAATATCCACTGTATCATCACAGCCACCCTGCAAGGTTAAGCTTAGAGTTCATGCTCAAGGTCACTTGGTGAACCTTATGACTGAGCAAGTATATGATTTCTGACCTTCATGATTGAGTTCTTTATCTTCACTGGCTAAATCTTCTTTCTGCTTCAGTTTTCAGACAAAACTGATAGAGATTACTACACGCTGGATGACATGTTTGTTTCCAAAGCGGCAAAGGGTGAGCAGCGTGGAGAAGAGGAAAGGCAGAGGCAACAAGCAATCCGTGAGCACCAGCAACTTGCTGCATGCATGGAAAAGTGCCCTTACTGCTTTGGTAGCCCTGAACTTCCAAAGCATCTGATTATTGCAATTGGAAACAAGGTGAGGGAGCAAGATAGCTTGTTTTGACATGCAAAGAGGAAAAAAATAGAAAAAGACTGTTTTCTGTTTCACAATTTCATGATACTAATAGTAAGATTGCTTCTTGTGACATGATTTATTGTCTCTGAATGTTCCTGGCCCTTTCAGTTAAGAGGAACAGGCCACTTCCTCAAGGGTGCAGCAAGAATGACATGACTCTGTCTTGAATGATCCAGTTAATCTTCAGCACTTCTGATTTGCAGCAGTGACATTGTAGCAATGATATACAAGAATTGAATATTTAAGTTGTGTCATTGAGGGACCAGAGCTGAGTTCAGGAGTAAGTGGAAAAGGGTCATTGAAATTAGAAATGTAAAAGCAAATAAGATCCACAATATAAAGCAAGGTCATTCCATTTCCTTTTAAGACAAAGCGTTGATTTGTTGCCAAGAACAAAGGAAAATGTTTTACCTTAGACTGGAACTGAACAACTTATGGCCCTTCAGAGACTTTGGCCTACCACTCCCATCATTCCTTACCTTTGGCTTTGCTGTGTAGGGCTGTTGTAGTACAAAACTTTTGGAGGGCCACGCATTTGCCCGCCCATGCTTTAGCGCTCTCCCCCCTCCCCCATCAGCATGTTTCTGTAACAACATTATATAGAAAGGCGATAAAATTCTTTGCAACCTGTTTTATTGAAGAAAAATTACCCTGCCTTTCAGACTTTTGAAGTGACTTATAACTAACCTGAAATGTGTACACAATTCAACAAAGCATGTTTTCTTTTTGCAAAGAGAAAAAATAACCAAGCCCCAATGCACAGACCACAGGGAGCGTATTGAATTTGGCTCACCACTCAGAGAGTTTTGGCTGTTGAGCAGTACGGAAAAGAAAATAAGAAAGAACTTTAAATTACAATAATCTTTGACAGGTCTAACACATGCCACCAAAGAACAAAGGGAACAATGTGCCACCTTTTAGCTTTGTTTCTTTTGTTGCTTTCTATGTGTTCACTCCCACGTATCTTTTGGGTTCTTAAGGGGAGCCAAAGTATCTGGGATGGCCTTAGAAGCTGTTTCCTGAGCTTGTAGTACATGTCTGATGGATTTGGGAAGTCAGTGGCTGACGAATTTTTCAGCCATAGTTTTCTCATTTTTGAAGCTTGACAACAGTCCAGTATGGGAGTTCCTTACTCTGTGTAAGGGATTTTGCCTCTCCACCACCTGAAAGAAGAAGTGATTGTTTCTTTATGGATTCTATGGAGCATAAACTGGAGGACTTTTTGTACTACCTCAAGAACTTGATCTTGAGGTGGTACAAAATGGTTATGTGGCTAGTGGTGGAATGATTTGCAGAGATATAGCCACAAAACAAAAATAAGAAAATAGTGCATGACCAAATGTTATATGATGATTGCACAAAATAAGCAAGAGGAATGCATTTTTGTACAAGTGTTTTAACCAGACTGCAAGTGCTAACTAAGCAGCTCAGGAAAGACTATTATTTCCCTAAAAGTACCGTGCATTGCAGACAGCTTACTGTATGGATTTTTATTCCTATATTAGCATAACTGGTTTGGTATGCATTGCCTAGACAACATAAGATCTGAGATATCTAGGAAATACAGTGAATAATAATCTACATTGTGATGGGGTAGCAGAACTGGCTCTAAGCTAAGCCTTTTTATGGAAATATATTGTATGGTTCTGGAGAGAATAATATTTGATTAGCAGGCTGATATTCTGAAGAGAGGAACTGAACCATGTTCATATTTTTACCCTGGCAATAGTTTTGAATGCAATTAGAGTGTTATGTTGCTCTATGCAGTGTGTGTCAGAAAGAGGGTCAGGCATCCTCCCTGTGCCCAAGACATCACAGAATTATGAGTGCAGGCTAAAAAGCTTTGCCTCTGAAAAAGCTGCCATTTTGCTGAATCATCTAAGTGCCTTGGTTTTGACATTGGTATGGCAATATATTGCTATAGTATTCACAGCATTTCAAATTTACTTGAGGATACATTTTCATTGAAATCTATTGGAACTGGGACCTTGCAAAATGTGTTCATGTTTGGGGTAATGGTGATTTCTTAGAGAATGCCATGCACATTTTGTAAGGCCCAACTTGGTGGTGCAGGTGAAGGAGAAGAAAGAAAGTACACTTACAGCCATTCCTAATCAGCAGTGGTTTGGGGTGCACATTTCATTAAGGTATGGAATAAGGGGGACAGTAAACCAAAGGGCACTGATATTGGAAGAAAATGGAAGCAACAGATTTATTGGAACAAACGGGGAGAGACAGCAGAAGATTAAAAATAGGAGGATATGGCATTTATATTTTGGTTGGCAGAATATAAATATTTGAGGTGCATTAAAAAGAACTAGTGGAAACAAGGAAAACTTATGTGGAATGAACACAGGGAAATAAGTAGGATAAGAAAGAGCAAGATACTGGCTGAATTCACATGGCACGGCAAACCACCCTGGCAAAAATTGTCACCTGTCCAGGTAACCTTATAGCTAATGGGGCTGGGATAAAAGTTTAATAAATAAATAAGCCAGGGTGTGGTATTTGCTTTGCAAAGGACTCTTGATGATCCCAGCAGATGATCAGATTCATTCTGTCTGCTTCACTCCTCCCTGTCCCTTTCTTATTGCTCCTCCAGACAGTATCCCAAGGGACACTGCAAGGACCAACGGGTATCCTTTCTCTGGAAGTGGCAATTGCTCCAGGTGTTACAAAGACCGTGTAGCAATGTATTCACCTTACAGACTAAGATAGGCAGTGTGCAGTGGGCTGCCCACTGTGCCCTTGCAGCATGCATGTCCTTGCACATTGCCGTAAATTTGAACTCCTTGCACTTCCAGCAGGAGCCCTGTTCGTGTTGAGGAGACAAAGAAGAATTCTCATGTAAACCGAACTTGTACCGATTGAGCACTCACACCTCTTATTCCAGAGAGAGAAGGAAGCACGGATGCCTGGTCCGCTTGGTGGAGCAAGCTCAAATATGGAGCAGCACTGCAATATGGATTGTTGGCTCGCACTTCCTGCCTAACCTCTGTTGCAGGAGGCAGGGCTGCCCAGCCCACTCAGCAATGCTGCCCTGTCTGTGAGGTGACTGGATTGGGCAGCAACAGCTCTTTCTGCCTCTTGTCTGAAAGTAAACCTCTCAGACAGGAGGGGGCAAGAGTGCCCAATCCTCTCAGTGTTACTGCCTTGAGCCAGCCCCCACCTCCCCGGCAGCCTTGCCAGCAGCTTGAAAATAGACCTCTCCTGCTGCTGGCACTTAGTCCACTCGTCAAAGAGGAGTGGATCCCAGTTATCTTTGCCAGAGGCTGCTGAGGTCTACCCTTGAACCACCAATTGTGTGGACAGGGGAAAGCTTCTGACAGTAGCTCCAAGTTTCACTTGGCAAATTTGGAAGCTACTGCCAGTGGCACTCACCTGGCACTCTTCTCAAGGAGAACGGGGGATTTTTGCTGCCCTTGCCAACTGACCTCCTGGCTTTTGAGCTCATCCACCATGGGTTTGGAAAACATGACGACCCACCATGGAAGACAGTAATCCTGGAACCCGCCATCGAGATTGTGGGGTGGCTTGTTTGGGTGAAGCAGTTCCTATTTACACCCCATGACAACCCTCAGTGATAGAAAACCATCATGACCACATTTGCAAATTTAACCTGACCTTTAGACAAAAGTATGTTATGTACATAATATAATGACACTTGGAAATTAGTATTGGTAATGTTTGTTCATTTTTTTTTAGTCTTCTTGTGAAATGCCCTCAAATCCTTGTCAGAAAGATCCTCTCCCAGCATGTCACAATAGATTCTCACTGGTGTTAACACTAGATATGACTTCAGTGGTATTGAACACATATGCCCAGGACCTACTTTTTTGCCACTGTGATTATGCCTATAAATAATATCTGGTGGGTAATGCAGTTTTTTTTTTAATGCTACAGTCACTCTTCCTGAAGACCAGCTAGTGCTGATGTGAGAAGGAACTATATAGTTCACACTACCTGAGATAAACAAGGTGTTCTTTTGTAGGCCAGCATTATCAACTGATGAAAGAAGAAATTGTGTCACTCACCAGGGATATATTTTTATTCTTTATACCAATTTTTTCATTGGCTAGGTTTCAGCCATGGGCAAAAAATGTATAAAACTGTGCTCTTGATCTATGCAGTCATTTCTACCCTGTATCTATCACCTGAATAGGATACTCGGAGCAGCTTACAAACATCTGAAAATGTAATAATATAATAAAACTGTTCAATTGAACAATAAAACAATCCTGACAGTGTGAAAACAGCAAAACCTAGAAAAATAATATGCCATCGCAGTCAATAATGTAGAAAAGGGTATTCATATGAAAACAGTTTTCACTGGCCATTTGAGCACACTCAAGGGCAGGTAGAGTTAAAACTCCCAGAATGATGGCTTCCATAATCTGGGTGCTGAAGGAAAAGCCTCATCATGCCCCTCCGTCGTCATGTATGCGTCATGTGTCTCGTGGAACAGAGGAATTCTTTAATAATTCTCATAAAAATGCACAACATTCATAGTGGGTGATAGTGGTTTAGAATATAGATCAGTAGTCCCAAGCTGGTGGTCTCTGGATGTGTTGGACATTCATATCCAGCCAATATATGGAAGGTATAGGAGTTATAGCCCAGCACATCTGAAAGACACAGACTGGGCAAGTCCAGAATAAATAACTGGAAAATGATTTCCAGAAATGATACTAAGATGCTACTGTAACCATCAGTGTAACTAACAATTGTTTAGGGCAATGGGAAAAAGTAGCAATTTACTCCCAATGTACATCCAGCACATTTTGGCTGCAAATCATTTTTCCCATTGTACTCCCTAGTTATGTTGTGAAATCTTTGGTTTACAGTAGTACAGTGTCACTAGCACTACTGCTGGTGCATAGTTGGATGCTCCCTATAGATGGTCTGTCTGTCTTTTGTAAAATTTGTGGATAACCAAGAATATATATGTGTTATATCCTATAGAAAAGATTTATTTATTGCATTAAATTATGCCATCACTGTTGATATGTGCATTTATATCCTGCCTTTTTTCCCTCTTATGAGGTGTCCAAAGTGGCTTACATAGGGTAACTCTCGCAACAACTACCTTGTGAAGTAGTTTGAGCTGAAAGTGAGTGGTTGGCCCAAAGTAAGATTCATGGCCAAGTGGACACTAGAACTCAGATCTCCTACTCTTAACTATTACAACACACTGTAAAGTTGAGAACAAATATGGTTCTGAACTGCTATTCTTTCTAAACAGAGCATACTATTTTTAGATTGCAATAATTTGACAGCCCAGCAAATGCAAAAACATTCTTTCCTTTCTGTTTAATAAATAGAACTCCTTCATGATGCCAAGAACCAATCTAGCAGTGGCTCCAGCTGGTTGTGGTGGTGGCACACTGGTATTTAAATATTAGGTCTGCCCCAACTTCATATGAAATAGAGATGAAGAGGTCCAAGTTCGAGAGCAAAAGGGGAGCAGCACAAGTGAGAAGTGCTGAGCACTCCCTACTCTGTCTAATCCCCCTTGTTCCTTTTTTTCTGTCCAAGCCCTAGTCCTCAATTGGAGGGCAGCTGAGGGAAGACAAGCCATTGGTGGGGCATGGTTTAGAAGCCACATACCTGTCCATTTTGCTTTTATTATGTGGCTGGGCCTGACCCAGATTCAGAGAGTTGGATCTCCTGCTGTTCATGTCTAATTTGGCCATAACTTTCTTTTAAGGGTGGATGTGTATGGGGGTTGAACAAGACTGCCTTCATCTATGAAAACATCAGTCATGTTAAATAGACACTAACTAGAAGTTTAAATGTTTGTGCATTTTCCTCCCTTCTCTAGGTATACTTATCATTGCCAAACCACCAGTCACTCACGGAAGGCCATTGTGTGATAGCACCTATGCTGCACTGCACTGCAGCCACTCTTCTAGATGAAGACATCTGGGAAGAAATCCAGGTGAGGAGAGCCTTAGACCTGCCGTTTTGCTGTGAGGATTTCTCTAGTCTTACCTGTTCTCATAATGTTTAAAGTGCAGTAGGCACAACACAGCCAAAGCTAAGACCTTTCTTGGTTGATTTCAGTAGGAGAGAAATACACTATAATGTGAGTGATTTAGAAGAGACAATTGTATATAACAAGCTATTTGCATCCCAAGTATTCATTCATATATGTATTGAGTTTCTATATTGTCCGATAGCCAAAGCTATCTGAGTGGCAATTCATAGAAACATAGAAAGAAAGGGAGTCCAAAAGGGTCTCCTGGGCCTTCTAGTCTGACCCCTGGCTCCAGCTGGCCCCACTCATGTAATTCTCAACATGTGGTTGGCTAATCTTTCCTTGAACGCCCTCACTGATGGGGCTTCAACCACCTCCCTTGGAAGCCCATTCCATATCCTAGGATCCTAACCATCAAGAAGTATTTCCTGACATCCAACCTGAAAGCATGCTTATGTTGATATCGATATCAATATCAGTGTATTTCACTATACATAATTTATTATTTATTTTCATTTATTGCAAGCATTTATATCCCATCCTTCCGCACAAGCGTTCAGGACAGCTTACATAATAAAAAATTCCAAAATACAATAATAAACCTACAATTATTAAAACAGAATTAACTACTGTCTGTATAGGTATGTCAGCATAAAAAGTCCTGATACATCATTGGATGTCATTAAATGCCTTGGATAAAAGGCACTGAAAGGATAACAGTTCATGCCTGGCAGGTTTCAGAGGAGAGATGATTCCATAACTGGGGGGCTGCCACTGAGAAGGGCTTCTTCCTTGCTGCCTCTTTCTATACTTTCCTTGGAAGTGGCACTTTGAAGGTCTGAAATGCCAAGCATGGTGCGTGGGGTAGGTGTTCTGTCAGACACTGCACTATGGTAGTTTATGTTCAAAGATGAGTCATCCAATTCTCACCCCTGCCCTGCTTTCTACTGACTTCTGAGTGAATAATTAGTGCAAAGTTTTATGTATTCAACAGATAAACACTTACAGTAGCATATATAGATAGGGAGAGACAGAGAGAGAAGGAGAGAATAATTAAGGTAGCACAAATCAATATTTTGAACAAATGCTGTAAAGTATAAAAGTAATATCAAAGAGTTGTATATAGGTCAGCAACAACTAGCATGCTAGTTTATTTGCCCCAAATAACTTGGTTTGAAAATAGAAGCACTTTCAATAGCATTTGTTTAAATTAGCATAGTGCTTGTATACATTCATGCCAAGTACAAAACATTTTAATTGGTTACTAAATCTACAAATAAACATAAAAGCATTTGGGAGTATTTCATAATGGACAAACCGAGGCACTAGAACAATGTTATTTGAAGGAAGTACAACCAAGAAGGCTATTTTCTGTCTGGATTCATTTTTCGCCATGTGCTGAAATCTCCTGTGAAGATACTGAATAAATTCAAATGTTTTCTGCTTCTTTGAGTTGAAGATCTAAAAGAATGTTCTACTTTAAAAGTCTCTTCAGATTAATTGATATTATATGCCTCTGGTTGCATTGTTCCACATACTACTTGCTTAATGTAACATTTTTATATTCTAATGTGATAATGTGAATACTGGAGACTTACTGGATTTGTACCCCAGCTTTCTGCTAAGAAAAATGGTTCTCAAGATAGCATAGAGTAACAAATAAAACTTGATTAAAATAATAAGAGAAACAATTATATTTATATACAATTAAAACACAGCAACAGAATCAAACTTTATCCTACTCAGTAAGACACTTAGATGCCCAGGACTTGAATTAAACTTTGCTTACTGATCGAAGGACTACAGAGATAAAGAAAGACTTGCCTCCCTTGGCTGGGAGTTTCAAAACCTTTGAGAAAGCTCTGTTTTGGGTTCCACCAATTACACCTCTGAAGATGGGCATCTCATAACAAGGGCCTTTCCTGAAGATCTTAAAATTTGGGCAGGCTCGTTTAGGAGATAGTCTTTCAGACAGCCTGGTCCCAATCCTTATAGGGCTTTATTGGTCATAGCAATGCTTTGAATGCTGCCTGAAAACAGACTGATAGCTGTTACATCCTCCCTTTTGTAACAAGGAGGTCACATACTTTCTGTAACCATTCCCAATGAAAGGTTGCCCACAGCATTCTGGACCAACTGAAGATTCTGAACAATATTCAAAGGTGGTCCAATGTTGAATACTTTACATTAGTAAAAACTATGGAATATGAAGCTGTGGCCAAAGCTGACATCCCTAGGAATGGTCTGTAGAGAATGTCTTCTCCCCACTTCTGCCATCACCTGGAGGAAATCTGTTCCTTTGCTGGCTGGTTCCTCTTGTGCTTACATTTTTGGGTCTAAATATTGGACTTGACCTGATGTAGATAACCTGATTCAGTGAACTGCTTCACTGTAAGGCCATAATGTTGTTATGTGTTTTCTGCCTGTTTTATTCCTCTTAGTGTAAGGACATAATGTTCTTGTGTGTTATCATCCTGTTTTAATACACTTAGGCTGGTGGCATCTCAACTTGAAACAGTCTTTGATTTGCCTTTTAAAGACTCAGTTTTTGAATATTTTATCTTTACCATCAGTAGAGTGCTTAGGGTTTGCTAGAGCAGTGACCCATGGGTTTTTGTGCTGTTGAAGCTTTGGGTTTTTGTCCTTTATGCTCTTTGAATTTGTGACTACCTGGAAGCGATAAGTAAAGTGCACTGATTTCTTCAAAGAAAGAGCACGAAGAAGGGGAATAAATAAAAACGTAATACAGTATATTACATTTATGTCCTATTTATCTTCCAAGGAGCTTAAGGTGGTTTACATTCCCTCACCCCATTTTATACACTGACCTAAAGCTTAAGATGTTTTTGATTGGAGCTTTTCAGACTTCTGGCAAAAAAACAACCCCCTAATAAAACACACTGTTTGGAAGGTCTCGTTGGCATCACTGGATTTTAAACACTTCAAAACTTAAATCTTTTGGCTATAGGCCTTGGCAAAATAGCCAAAAATAATAATTCTGTTAATGATTATTTGTAACAAGCATGATTGTCAAACCAGGCATATTGTTTTTATTGAATTCAAATCTTTATGGTTTGCATTTGAGAGTAGTGTTTATTTGGGAGGATTGACTGAGTCAGCTAGAGGTCATTCAAGCCAAGAGCCTTCTAGGATTTGGTCTCATGTAGAGGCAACTAAGTTCAGTGAAGAACTAAAAATAACCTCTGGGAAATGAGAAAAAGGGAAACCTTTTATAATGGGAAAATGTAATTAAATATGCCTGGGAAGTTCTGCAAAAATACTTAGAAGATTCATTCATTCCACTGGCAGGATATCTTCAGAATGGATTGGCTAGTTATATACTCTCTGAATAAATAAAATTCCAATAGAACCTTTAAAACCACTGAGAAAATCCAGTGCTTTTTCTCTTTTCATGAACTCATTTTCTTTCATGCTTAGTTGAAATACTGTGGTGATATCTTTTCCTTGCAACATGTGTAGACTGTCATGCAGGAGTTGCTTCCATCCATATACACCATGGATTCATAAGTCTGGTTATGCATTGCCTTGTTATCCCAATTTGGACAAAGAGCGTAGAAATAAGCTTTGAAACCATTTTTCAGAGCAGCAGCTGTGTGAGCCTGTTGCAGCAAAATCAACAAAGAGGCTTATGGCACCCTTAACAATGCATTATTGCATCAGCTTTTGTGGAGTGTAGCCATCTGATTAAATGGGCGATCGTCCCCAAAAGCTTGTTATAATAAATCGGCTTGTCTTTAAGCTGCCATAAGACTCTGTTCTTCCAAAGCGAACAACAACTAATTTCAGCAATATCCTGTGAATCCTAAAGGTAGCAATACTGATACCAAGCCCAGCCTGGTCATCCTTAGCTGAAGCAGAGAGCATGCACAACTAAACTTTTTCATTAGTTTTACAGGAGTTCTCCATGTATGACGTCTGCATTCCTAAGGAAATACAGAAATCCATTAATATTCCCGAAAGAATATTAGTTAGCCTGAAGACTTTGGAGAGTATCTGGAGATTGTCATTTCATATAGAACAATAGGGTATCTTCTTTACTCATGTGGGTACAGCCTATACACAGATAGATTCCACATAACATAACAGAATGTCAGGATCTGGGCAGTTTCAGGGCTCTCCATCTGCTGGACAAGCACCGGCATAATAACCCTGGTAGTTGCTGGCTTGGTCCTGGACTCAGCTGTGGCTGCCAGGATTTTGATGAGCACTGCCTGGGAGTCCTGGGAAGGATGTATAAGAGCTGGCTCTTCTCTCCAGAAGCTGCTTCATCAACACAACTCCCCTGGGTGCTGTAGTCTGTTCCTGCTCTTGCATTTTGTCAGACCTTTGCCTGATCCTGTTCCTTGTTCTAACATCTTGCCAGTTCTTGCCTGTTGTGACTGCATCTTACTTTGTTCCACGATGTATTCCTGGTTCCTGACCTTGGGCTGCTCTCTGACCACGATTTGGACTTGTTACTGGACTTTGCTATTGGGCTTGAGTAGCCTTGGGTCCCAATCACTGGGAATTGGTGGGATATATATATATATATATATATTTTTGTCAAATATGGACATCATCCATGTGATCACCTGCGCACACCTGCTGCTTCCCTTGTTCCCTTGGCCAATGAGCAGCCAAATGTCTTTCAAGAAGCCCAGGCCAAGCTCCTCTGTCACCTGGAAAAGCAGTATAGAAGGGGGAGACAGATTGCAAGCAGCAGGAGGTGCCCCAGTTACAGTTTCCCATTTTCTCCATGGAAAATTACCATTCACAGCCCCTCAGCTAAGTTAGATTCCAATTCCAGGTCCTTTTTCAGGTACTCCAACAAACAAAACCAGTGATGCATAAATTGGACCTGCTACACCATCTGAAACTGCATCCACTATTTCATATTTCTCAGTTGAAGCAATACAAAGACAGCACTTTTTCTGAACTGCAAAGCCTCCAGCTGTCCAGATCCAGGGTCATGAGAAGTATATTGTAGCCAAGATCCTGGACTCCAAGCAGCTTCGAGGCAAGATTTACTTTTTGATGGCCTGGGAAGGATATAGTCCTGACGCTCACTACTTTTTGAATTATGAAACATGAAAGTTTCTTTTCATGTTAAAAACAAACTTGTCTCAAGATGTTCTATGCTATTTCTTGCTTACTAAATGAGGCTAGCACAGTTTACAGAGTGTAAAATGAAATGTGAATTCTATAATATATGGATCTAACACTTTACAAATGGCCAGCAACTTAAGATGCCTCAAACTTGTGGTTTCCAGCTAGTAATTTTAAAGGAGCTCGATTTGAAGGAAGCACCTGCCTCCTCTCTGTTGGATAGTATCATGGCATTTCAAGTTTGGGGACCAAAATCATTTCTCATTTATTGGAAATCTAGACTGTGATTTCCACCTTATCTGTTTGTGTTTTAAAAATGCCAGTTTCCATGCACCACTCCAGATGCAAACTGATCCACTCCGTAATTGGTTGTGACATTCCATCCAATGGAGGAGAATGAGTGAGTGTGAATACAGGTCAAGTCTGTTACAGTAACAGGTTGGGTAAACTTCTGCACAATGGAGATGAAAGAGCTAAGATTGCTTTTCTTTAAGGGAATATTAGTATCTGACTTAAAGGTCAATCACGCCTGATGAAAATGTCACTTTTTGATAAATTGTGTAATTGGAAGGCAGAGTAGGGGAATTGTGGCATTTGGAGTCAATACAAGACAAGGTATTAACTTTTGTGGAAATGAAACTCTGAGACCTCCTGTTGTTTCTGGCTCCATTTATGGTGCCCTCAAAATTTTTGAACTTTAGTATGCCTTTCATTTGACTGATAAGAGGACACCTGGTGTTGTCAATATGCATATAGTATAAATATTTAACATTACCCATCATGTTCCATTGGTAAGTTCATTATAACTTACTTTGAATGCAGCATAATGTTAGCCTATGAAAATAGAAAGTTTCTAATTAATACGAGAGACTTACACAACTGTGTTATCTAATTTTATTGTTGGGAAATATTGCTTTCCTGACTCTTTTCTTCCTGACCCCATCCCTTTTACAGGTATTCAGAAAAACTTTGGTAAAGATGTTTGAAGCAGAAGAGCTGGATTGTGTTTTTCTTGAGACAAACCTAAGTACAAAGAAGAAGTATCACATGGTATATGAATGTATCCCCCTCCCAAAGGAAGTGGGGGATATGGCTCCCATCTACTTCAAGGTTATTTGTTTATTGCCTAGTTTTCACCATTTTAGTTTTGGAGCACTCAGCTTAAATTTAAAAGCTAAATAAAAGCAAGTCATATGAAATGCAAAAATATAAGTTCTTACAAAATCTTATGATCATTCTCTGCCTAGCCTACCTCACAGGGTGGTTGTTGTGAAGATAAAATGGAGTGGAGGACATCTATGTAAGCTGCCTTGGCTTCCTCCCAAGAGGGAAAAAGGATATATATGCAATGTAACGGTGGTGGTGATATTCTTTCCCTCTCTCAATGAAACTCTTAACATACAGTTTCCTAAAGAAACTTGGAAGCACAAGAGTTGGGCAAACAGCACCTGGAAAAAGGCTCTCTTCTCTATTATAGCACGAGCCGTGTCTTGCTTCTTAGGTTGTGCAGCATGACATGCAAGTCTGGATGACTGGATAATTTAGGGATAAAACAATCCGAGCATTTATCCATTGTTTGTTGTTAACTGCTGAGTTACTTGGTCTCAAAACAATCCAGTTGCCTTGGTTCACATGTCATGCAGCACAGGCTATGAAAGGGTTGATTGTGCAGGAAACCGGAAGGGGTAGGCACATTATGTGGTGGCCCCAGCAACTGATCTGATTTTTAAACCAATGGGTTGTCACATATGAACAGCCTGATAGTCTCAGCCATGTATATTTCTTCCTTTCACTTCAAGCATTAAGGTGAAAATTGAGTTCCTTGATGGTTGGTCTACAGATTGTATGAATACTTGAGCCTTCGTAAGAATATGGTTTGGAGGCAATAATGACTGAAGTACTGGTATTATAGATTTTAATCACAAGAGAAACATGGCATTATAAATCTTTACCTGGAATTTCCCCCACTCCCTTATGTACAGAAAGGCTGATGGAACCTAATTAATTCTGAGTTCTTAAAAGATCTGTGGCCTTTTTAATTCTATAAAGTTTTAATTTCAATGTAATTTGTAAGATTGCAACTAAAGTTAGCGTGTAGTTCTGAAATTATAAAAATATAAAGGGAAAGATAGTGAATAAAATTAGTATGAGATCACTTCATTATGCATTAATCTATGTAAATTGAATTCTTCAAATCACAGAAATGTCTCCAAATTAATTCCTTACATTATAAAATTAATATGCATTATTGAAGTGGCAGTCTTCTCTCTCTCTCTCTCTTTCTCTCTCTCTTTAATTTCAAATGAAGTTCTACTTTTGTGGCATAGACTCGTAGTCTAAGAGTGTTTCATATGTTATTGCAATATTTTTTCAGAAAGCTATAATGGAGTCTGATGAAGAATGGTCCATGAACAAAAAGTTGATTGATCTGTCTTCAAAAGATGTCCGCAAGTCGGTATGTATTAAAGCTTGCACATGTAAGACAACACCTGTACTTTCTATGTGAACTGTTTTTTGAGTATGACCTATATTTCAAAAGATGCAATTCTGGCAATGGAAGAAGAAACAGTGGATGGAAAGTATGAGAGATGGATTTCAGTTCCAAACATAGTTATAGAGAAAGTACCTTCTGCTGGAGTTCTGACATAGTTAAACTTGATACATTTATGCTGAGAGGCCTGCTTTTTAAGCTGAACTGTGACTTTTTAGAAATGCTAGCCTGTATGGCAAAGGGCTTCTTCTTTTTGCTTATTTATCCAAATATTTAAGACTGCAATCAAAAACACACTTATGAGGAAGCAAGTCCCATTGAGGTCAGTACTTCTGAGGAAACATGTCTAGGGTTGCATTGCATGACCAGCTCTTATGTGGAAGTGGAGTCCTCCCTGCGTATCACTGCAGCCTCCTTTTCATCTAGCAAGACCATTTGCTTGTACGGCAAAGGGGCAGAGTTCTGAATTTTACAGGTGTCCCGTCATATACATAGCAGCCAAATATGGCCTCCTGTGCAGGATTGCTGGCAGTGCTAGTCACTCGTTATCTTGCTCTTGCTCCTGAGTGTCGCCCATTTCGGGCCTCTCATTCAAGGCCACTGATTATTCAGTACCTTCCAAAATCCATCTAAAATTTGTTTGCTTTTATTTAAATAGCCTCCTTTTTATTTGGCTTTCTACAGTAGAACTAAACAGTTGTCTTTATCTAGAGGGTTGTTTCACATTGTTTTCATACGCTTAAATAATGAAACCATGGGAAATGTTAGCATTATGGAGAGCATTGTTTAAGAGATAAGAGCATTATTTCTCTGTGTTTAATTAACATACCAAAACATTATTTCAGGGCCTTGCTGCTAACATAAAATAATGTTCTATGCCTCTCCATACTTTGGTGGCCCCATTTTTGTCTGATTATTCCCTGCTCTTGTATCTGCAGCACTAAAATAGTTATCAGAGTATGGTACCAAAACGAATTTTGCAAAGCAAATTCAAACTCAAAGTTTGAAGGGGAAAAATCAAGAAAGCAATATTGGCTTGCCTAGCTAGCCTATCTGTGCCTAAACTTCTGATGAATGAGCACAAATTCTTGATTTGCACATCAGTAGTGAAAATGTGCTTAGAGATATTGCTAAATTATTTTTAGACTGTCTCCTAGACTTAATGGATTAAGCACAGCTGTGATGCTTGCACCATTTGAGGGCACAGAACACATTTGGAACAATTTCTGGAGACAAACAGAATATTGAACGGGACAGTCCTTTACACTTTTAACTTCATAGCTTCCTTAGAAGATTACACATTTACTGGGTAAATATTTAGAAAAAACCCAGGATTTTACATCTGAGTGATTGCAAAGAAAATACTAGAGCTCCACTGTTTCTTATTTACATATTCCATGGGTACATAAGTCTTTCATTTTGCTGAATATGTACTGTGTGAACTCCAAGGCACACATCACGGCTTACAATCTAGGAGTCTCCAGCTCAGGTCCACAAGAGTTTAATAGAGGCATTTTTGTGCTTCACACTTTAGTTGTTACAAGTACAGTAGCCCTATTAAAGCTGCAGAAAATTGTGTTTTCATAGTATAAAGTAACTTTAATGTGCAGGTCTGGGAAAACTATAGCATTTTGAAGCTACTTTCTCTGCTGCATCTTCTAAGTCATGTAAGGCAATCTCAGACCTCTGTGAAGGTAAATCTTCACTAGCTCTTTTTTGGTTTTGCATCATGCGTTCCCAGACATACTGAGTTGGATCTGAACTTTGCTTTTTTATCCATTTGAGAAAGATTTCTGCAAGCACAAGAAGCTATAGGAAGGAGTGGCCAAAGATGGAGCAAAGTCTGGATCCAAGTCACTATATACATAGTTTGCATCTCCTTAAAACTTCTAATTCTCATTATTTGTTGTTAAATTACAAACATACATAAATATACACACACCCTCCTCCTCCTCCTCCTCAATTGCAAGTTCTGCAGTTACGCAGTTTACATGTTCTTATAAATGTACTACTTTGAGATTTATTTGCACAAAAGTTAATATTTCATGAAATAGGCATGTGACCTCTCTGTAATGCCCCTTGTGAATTTTGGACAAACACCCAGAATTCCCCTTATCCTGCTACTCTTCTTCCACTGTGAGAGGTGTTTTTTGTTCTAGTTTTGCATGTCTAACTTGGTATAATCCTGGCTGCTAGGTTTTCCCATAGGCAAGATCAACAAATCTGGTCTTTCAGGCCCATATTGAGATGGGGAGGATGGAGTGCTGTTTATACAATCACTAGGGACTAATCTAACCCTCACCTGTACTAAAAACAGTGGGTTTTAGTTCTGAGCAAAACCTCATGCACTCTCCTCTCCCCCTACCTAGAATTCCCCTTATCCTGCTACTCTTCTTCCACTGTGAGAAGTGTTTTTTGTTTTAGTTTTGCATGTCTAACTCGGTACAATCCTGGCTGCTAGGTTTTCCCATAGGCAAGTCTCAAGTGGCATAAAATATTTAAAATAAAAATACAGCAAAATAGTTAAAACAAAATGCAGTAAAGACACACTGATGAAACCATCTGCGTTTCAGTTTAAATCACCAGAGACACAAAGAAAGATGCTCTTGGTAGTTTCCCAGCACACCTCCCACAGCCTGGTTATACAATTTTTTCAGATTGTGACTTACCAAAATCAGCCTGAGTGCCTTTGGAGGCTTTGAAATGCCTAGCTATGTGGGCCTGTCTTTGAGTGCTTGTTTATTTCTACGTTACATGTTTTGCAAGCTATATATCTAAATAAAGATATATAGCTAAGTGTTTGAAATGTGTTTCCTTGAAAAAATAATATATAATTTTATGTTTAGGTTCCAAAAGGTTTGCCCTACTTCTGTGTAAACTTTGGTCTCCAAGAAGGCTTTGCTCACATCATTGAAGATCAACACAAGTTCCCTTATTATTTTGGAAAGGTATTAAGATGTCCAGCTTCTGTTTGATGGAAGATGTTCCCTATGCATTGTGCTGAGAAGATAACTATATATATTAGCAAAGGTGACTAGGCTATAGGAGTACTATTGCTGTGTGCTTAGAACGTTGTGAGGGAGTGAGGTGTGTAATGAAGCCTTTCAACTTTATGCTGATATCTCACTGTGCAAAGTGAAAGTTGCAAAAAAGGTTTGCTTTAAGGTAAAGCAGGTTAATTTTCTATTAGCAGAAGCACTATTGTGACTCTGAAAAATAGTCAGTAGAGAGTAATTTTCTCTCTCTGCTCCTGTAAATAAAATCAGAAACTTTGTGTGTAGATTTGCAGGGAAAAAGAAGTAAGAAGCAACTAGTGGATATTGCTGAAACATTTGTTTAGAAACAGCATTAGCTCTGAAGCAATTAGCTCAGTTAGATAATCCCTTATTAAAGAGATGTTGCAGTGCCTAGTCAACATGAAACAAACGTTTTTACAGAATAAAAAGTACTTTAAGGTTTATAGATAGGAACTGGTAGATGCCAGAACACTGGATCTGCTTAGGCAGTTTTTTAAATTCTTGTATGAGAAGGAAGGACTCACTGAAGATCCTGATGCTGGGAACAATTGACAGTAAAAGAAGAAGGGGATGGCAAAGAATGAGGTGGCTAGATGGAATCACTGAAGCAGTCTGAGCTTAAGTGGACTCCGGGGGATGGTGGAGGACAGGAAGGCCTGGAGCAATGTTGTACATGGGGTTGTGATGGGTTGGACGTGACTTTGCAACTAACAACAACAACAATGTATTCACAGATCCCAAAAGTTGAGGATCCTTGCTATAGGTTAATCAGGATTCAAACACGTTAGAGTTAACCAAAAGGCACATTGTAGATTAACTGTATATTAATGATTTCGATTTTTATTATATAGATTTATATACCACTTGCAATATTTAAGAAAGAGCAATTTGTAGAAGTATTAAAATAATTAAATAGAATATACTATAAAAATACAATTAAAATATATAATAATTTCTGAAACATTGATAGAAACATGCACAACTCACACAACTTCATAATTAACAACCCAGAGAGGACATTCACACAGAGAAAACCTGAGTGAAGAGATGAGCCTTGAATTGGCACCTAAAGCGTGCTACAGCTCCCAAATACCAGCGCAGAAATCATTCCGTAAGGTCTATGCTGCATTTTGTACCAGGTGCAACTTCTAGACCCAACTACAGAGGCAGCTCCACATCAAATGGTTTGCAGAAATTGAAATAAGAGGTCACCAGTGCATGGAGTACAGAAGGCCAGGGTATCCCTATCCATGAGAATGTGTCATTGACACACCAACCTGTGAATTAGCCCAACATTGGCTGCCATTATGTGTGAACTGGGTCCCTCTATTTTGAGGGGATGAGTTTGAATAGTACATATTGGTGTTAGCCAAGTGGATAAATGTAGAGCTAGAATAATTCTTCCCACTACTTTGTTTTAAAAAGGATTAGGCAGTTCCCAGATCAATGAAGGGAACAATGATCAATATTCTTCTCTATTTGTTCTACTTTGAAAGGAAGTAATTGGTGGCATGCTGGATCTGGAGCCCAGGCTTTGGAGAAAAGGATTGCGAGAAAACTTTGAGGACCAGAGGAAAAAGGTGTTGCATTTTGCTCAGAGGTGGAAACCGTATGACTTCACCAAAAGCAAAGAGTAAAGATACATGCAGTAGCTGGATTATAAGAAACAAACAAGAGCCAGCCCTGAAGTTCCTCCTTCTTACACAGGAATACTATGTGGAAGTCTTCTTTATTTGGAATGAACACATTCAGGGAAGGGAGGGAGGGAAATTCATGGATTTAAAATGGAGATACCAGAGTTATCTACAAGTCAAATGAATTTCAGTGGTTTAATATGTACATACATACTTAGTCAAGTGTTAAGTCCTTAAATGATGGATGAGATGTGTTGTATAAGCCTTCCACCTTTCAATATTTATTTGCATTCTGTGGAAAACTAGTTGCTTTTCTTAGATTATAATGTAGTGAGTTTTTCATTTAAGATGGTGTAATTTCTTTTTTAAAAATGTGTTAAATTGGCTGTTCAAGTTGTAAGAATTTAAAGATCTTTTTTGATACAAGGATAATTTTGAATTATGATTGTTTTGAGGGAGAGTCTGTCAAGTGCATGGTGTTCCACTTAAAAAGAAAGTTGGACTAGGATGAAATCTTGTACCAACTTACCTTGAAATAAGCCACATGGAACTTGATGGTACTTACTTCTGAGTAGATATATATTGATCTTTAGACATAACAAGGATAAAGTATTATAAGACTGTCTAAATAGCATTTTAAAAGCAAATATTGTTAGTGAATGGCTTTATTAACTGCCTTGTGAAGATGGCTTATCAGTTTGATAAGAGTATGAGGAGGCAGAGATAAATTGGGCTTGACAGGAATTTGAAACCTCACCATTTTATAGACCAAATAAAATTATTACATTTCATGTATGTACAGGATTTTATTCTGCATTTCAGAATTAAAAAAGTTTTTCAAAGTGGCATATAAATGTAAAAACTGCAACTAATATAAAACATCCTGCATTAAAGACCCTGTAAAATATAGTAACTAGAAGAGCAGTGTAATACCCACAAACAAACTGAAACAAAATGTACCTAGGCTTCATCGGAAAGAAAACAAAGTCTGGGCAAATGTACTCTCCACAGCAGGAATTCTGTAAATGGGGAGGTGCCATGAAAATGGTGTCCCCAGTGAAATGGGTCCAAGAACAAAAGAATGTAGCACTCTAGACTAGAGTTGCAACTTACTGGGTATGTGTGTCAGGTCGTAAATAAAGGAAATTCAGATCATGTGTGCACACACCATTATATGGGCTGTTTGAAGTAGGATGGAAATAATGGTAGTTGTATTAAATTGATTAAAGATCAACACATCTGGTCTTTCAGGCCCATATTGAGATGGGGAGGATGGAGTGCTGTTTATACAATCACTAGGGACTAATCTAACCCTCACCTGTACTAAAAACAGTGGGTTTTAGTTCTGAGTAAAACCTCATGCACTCTCCTCTCCCCCTACCCACATTTATCAACAAACATAACAGCACTGGACAGAGACTTCAAGGTGCTATTTTACTGTTCCTGGTCCCTGGACAAGGTGAGGAAACAGAAAGCCAATGTCCAAGGTGGGTCCTCATCTTATTCCAGAAACTTTATTTTGGTGGCTTCTGTGATTCTAGAATACTTTAAAAAAATTGAGGAGGGGGGTCTAATTTTTGGAAGCCCTAAAATCTGCACTGTATGTTTAGGATCACACATTGGTTGTGTTCACATGTGATGTTAAGCCATGCCATGTGGTTTCTTACCTGGGGGAAGCTGTCAAATGATCACATGGTTTCATCCTCCTATATAACTCTTTTCACTGGCAGCTTATGTCCAATGAGCCTTAGTGGCTGAAATTAAATCCCAGGGTGCACTTCTCCTGCCTCTTCCTCATTGGTCTACACAGAGGTTGGCTGGCTAGACTGGCTCCTGCAATTGCTGCTTTTGTCACTGGACTCTATGGTGGCTGCATGAAAACCCCAAGTCTGGATTCAAATGGCCAAATAAGCCAGAGTGAAGCACAAAAACTATACAATAGGTTGTCTCTCTCTCTGTGGTGTCCTGGAAACCAAAAGTGGACATATTTTCCTGTGTTGGGAACCACCATGGCTTCTTGTCATGTTTGCACCCAGCCACTATGTTTGATGTAATGCTGAGTGGGTTTCCCTGCTCACAGACCTTTCTATAGTCCCAGTTATTTCCCTGCCCAGCATAGCTTCCTATACTATTTCAGCTACCTCTTCATACATCCTAGGTCCCTACTGCTTTGTCTAGAGCAAGCCCTAAGACATCTTGCTGGCCGAGGCAGAGCAGCAAATGGTGCCTTTCCTACTCATTCCCAAGGTGCAAAGTAGCATTTGAAGCCAGTAGTTTTGGTCTCTGAGACAGAAAATCTTGTGACCAGCTTTCCCCTTCCTTAACAGGGCAACTACAGTAATAATTATTAATTTTTCATGATGTCTGAACCAGCTGCCTGAGTTTGCCTCTGGCTTTAAAGTGTATGTGATGCACACATGCATTCTCTATTTGCAAAAGGGGTGCATTAATGGGAGGAAGGCATTTGATTTCCGGGTTGGGGGGCCTTAGAACGATTCACAGAAGGCAGCAGAAATGAATGCACATATGGTTAAAAAGCCAGCTAATCTAGGATTATTAGATGCCTCAGAGAGATAATTGGGACCCCGTAGAAGTTTTTCTCCAGTTACATGAAAAGCAGCATCTTTCAGGCTAACTTTCTGTATGCTGAACTGTCCATGAAATCTAATTATGCCGCAATAAATCCAAGTGTCTCTAAGGCAGCTAGTCATTGTGGCTTTTGAACACAAAAGAGCAAGAAAACCTTATTCCATCTCACTGTTGATTCTGCTGGCTAGGGCTAATCATAGTTATAGCCAAAACATCAGAAGAACTTCAAGTTGTCCACCCCTGGATTAGACCTGGACAACAACCTTCTTGTCTCTCACTGGCCAGAACACCAATGACACCAGTAGCTCCATATTCCATTCATATCCGGCTAAGGTCAGTAACTAATAAAATGTAGTTACCTTGCAATTGAAGGGAAATGGGGTGTAACAGATTCACTAGAAGACCTTGCTTAGGTGAAGGTGGGACCCTCCTGGAGGAATGTGAGATCCAGATACCAAGCCAAAACCTTTTCCAGGTTTTGCAAACTTGTTCCAGATATATCTTATTAGGCATGTGAGAGGAATCCAACAGAGGACTATAAGTCCAATGGATTCCAGTTTGTTAGGTCTGCGCTGACATTGATTCGCACTGGTGTGAGTTGAGTTAGCTGAGATTTTCATGTCTAAGGAGAATTTCAATTTCAATGTGCAAATTCTGGACCATCTTATAGATGTTAGCCTACACCCATCACCCTGCCTGTCAATGCAGCTTACTTCCTAGAATAAGATTGGAATTGGGAAGGAAATCTGTCTTTCTCCAAGTTTCCCTGTTTTAGTGTATCCCTGCATTTTACACATCATGTAGTCCCTTAGAGATCTGTTTCCTTTTCAGAACAAGACAAACTGATTTTTGCAAATATTGTATTGCTCCCCTTCCTCCACTGAATCCAAATTGTGGGGTTGCTTTGATGTAAGAATGTTTTCTCCTTGTTTTTTTTCTGCCTTAAATTTTCAACTGAGTTTAAATAGTGTACATACATTTTTCTACATTAATTTTACTCACTATGTATTGGCTGAGTTCTTGCTTTCTGATGGCTCACTGCATGCTTGCAAATGTCAAAAGAGACAGCAATATTTTTAATACCTCCCCTTTGTTTATTTTGTTTATACAAAGTGTACTGCTCAATATGAAGAAGGCTTGGGTGCAGTTAAGACTAGGATTAATCGGAGGGTGCCTCAAAGTGTTCCGCCAAAGCAAGCAGAAATTTTCAAGGAGATGAACACTCTGTGTGATCCTGGGAATGACTCAGCCCTAACTGAGCATTGGGATGGGGGAGGCAGGAATTTCCAGCACTGAAAAACAGATGCATTCAGAGCAGTCCTTTGGGAGGCTTTGGGATTTTTTCTTCTTTGTTTTGATGAGGATCAACAATCAAAAATGCGCGTGGGGGACATTCTAGCAAATACTTGTGCTATTCACCAGGGGGGAAATTCAATACAAGTCCCCAAGGCTACATGTCTCAGCTGCTTCTGCATTGCCCTACAGGTGAGGAACATTTCATTCCTATTCGTGTGGCTCTAAGAAGTTCCTGCAGAGTGTCATTGAGAGACAGCATGCAATCTACTTCAAGGCTTACAGAACAACTCTCCACTGCTGGAGTAAGCAACATATAGCCCAGGTGTAGGGACCCTGTCTTTGTGCGGTGTGGTGGCAGCACATTTGCAGTTTGCCCATTTGTTTTAAAATCTGCTCTTTTTAAAGCTGTTCTGTTCAACTGCTTTGCAACATGCTGGTCACCGTCTTTGGTTGTAACCCTCCGGATTCCACCACACCGTCTACAAAGCCAGTCCGACTGGAGAGCCCATGCTAGAAATTTGGTTCTTCCACTGAACCCATACTGGTGATTGCAGGGAGAGGAGCCTTGTGTACCTTGCCCTTCTGGACAGAACAGTAGTCATGGGATGGACAAGTTCAGGTTGTGTTTGATACAAAATTGTTAGGTTGTACCTAAGGTACTGCTCCTAAAAAGCCATTTTTTAAGAAGAATACTCTGCCCACACCATATTCTGCACTTTCTCCTTTGTTTTTATGTGAAACTACAGCCAGTGGCGAGTTAGGTCTTTTTAGATCCTGGACTTAATGATCTTACCCACTGCCCACTCCCACTTTATGTAGTATATTATTTCAGATATGAAGCACAAAGTCAACATTTCTTTCCCTCCACCCAGTATTACATGGCTTACAACTGCTCCTTTATATTTGCTCCCAATATATTAAAGCAACACACACACAAACACACACAGTGTTATATGGTGTAAAAATAGCACATGTCAAATATAAATCTATATTTTAACTATTTTGTTTTTATGTGCCATCAAGTTCACTTCAACTTAGGGTGATCCTATGACTGAATGTCCTGTCCTTCACAGTCCTGCTCAGCTCTTGTAAACGCAAGGCTGTGGCTTTCCTTCCTTTTCCAATTTCTTGGCTGCTTGACCTGATGTCTGAGCCAAAATCTGGCAAAATCTTTCACAATGTCAATTGCATCATTGTTGACCTTAAAGTTGTGTCATTCTTCTGTTAGCATGATATTTGTTAATGTTCAGCTACAGCCCTGTCTTTGCACTTTCTTCTTTCACTTTCATCAGGGGCTGTTTCTATTCATTGCCGCTTTTCCCCAGTAATATGGTATCATTTGCATATCTTAAATTATTCATAGATTTTCTCCCAATGTTCACCTCTTCCTTTGATCCTAACTGAATTTTCCTTATGAAGTGTTCTACATACAGATGGGAGATATAGGGAGATAAAATACACCCGTGTCTGACACTATTGCCTGTAAGAAACCATGCTGTTTCTCCGTATTTTGCCTTAATGGTACCTTCCTGTCCACCGTACAGGTTAAGCACCAGGATGATCAAGTGCTGAGGCACTCCTATTAATCTTTCAGGACTCTCCATAGCTTCTCTTGATCCTCACAAGCGCTTTGCTGTAGACTAATAATCGTAGACTGATCTTCTTCTGAAATTATTTGGTGCACTCCACTAGCCAATGTATATTTGTGGTATGATCTCTAGTGCCTCTTTTCAGAATCCCATTTGAACGTCAGGAATTTCTGGATCCACGTAGGGTAAAATTCTTTGTTGCAACACCTTGGGCATCACTTTGCTTCCATGGGAAATCAGTGCAATGGTCCTATGGTTGCTGCACTCTTTTGCATCTCATTTCCTGGGGATTAGAGTCTATATTGAACATTTCCAGT